TTCTCTCGCGTCCGTCTTTCCCTCTTTCGCCTGCGAGAGGAAAGACAGGATTTGAAGAAAGAAAGAATAGAAGAAGAAAGAATTATGCAAATATATACAGCTGTACGTAAGTTTCTGTACGTGGAGGCCGCAGGATATAAAAATAGTTGTTTACGACCGTACTTACAGGAGCGTGTACGTCAATCTGTAACGCTGTGTACTAGTTAATAACACGTGTATCTCGCTGATGGAGACCCTCGTGACAAGCGTGACACTTACCCACCCCTAAGTCAACGCAAGGCTTGTAAAAGAACGTATAAGAACGTTCTCCGTCATCACATGGCTACATGAATTAGAGAAGAAAAACACAGATATGGAGGCAAGGTTGGCAGCTGTGTCGACCACATAAAATGGCCAAAGTAATGACGTTGCCGCAGAGGGTGGAGGGGGGGATGAGGGATGGAGAGAGGGGCGAGGGGGGTTAGGTGAGAATACAGGGGGTGGAGGGGCGAATGGGGGAGAAGGAGGGAGGTAAGTAATTACGGCTGTGTGTCTGGGAAAGGGTTGTTATTGTACGTGTCTCTATCATATCTGTATTAGCTCCTTCCTCAAGGTCGTGCGGTGCCTCTTGAGCCTCAGATATGACATTCTGTGCATTCCACTTTTGAGGAAGGATGCTAATAATGACATGCAGGTGTAGACAAATCCCCTTGCATAGTCATCAGGATGCAACAGCTACTCACCCATGATTTCCCTTCTTCACTCACTCCATATCTCCTTCCACCCATTTTTACCCTTCTCCATTTCCCACTTCCTATCTATTCCCCCCCCCCATCCTTCTTATCCCCCCCCCCATCACCCTACACCCTCTTCCCCATCTACACCCTTTCCCAATATCTACTTACAGTTTCTTCTTCTTTCTCCCAACCCCCCCCTCAACCCCATCCTTACCCCTTCCCTCCTCTTCACCCTATACTCCCCCCTCCCTCAACCCCCATCCTTACCCCTTCCCTCCCTCTTCACCTTATCCCTTCTCCGCTTCTCCGCCCTCCCCCCACCCCTTCCCCACCTCCACTCTGAACTCCTTTCCTCCAACCCGACCCTTGTCCCCTCCCCATCTCCCCCTTTACCTGACCCCCACCTGCGCCATTAGCCTCCCCCCCCCCAACCCCAACCCATTTCTCCCTTAGCTCTTCCCCCTTCTCTCTCTCCCCAACATCACACTTAGCTCTTCTCCCTTAACCTTAGCATTACCCCTTCCTCCTATTTCCATCCTTATTCCTAAACCCTTTCCCCTTACCCCTATCTTCCCACTCCTACCTTCCCCTTCCCCACCCTCCCCTCTTCCTCCGACCCTATCCTATTTCCCTCCCCTCACCCCATGCTACCCATAACCCGTCTCTCCATTCTTCCCCCCTCCCCCTACTTTCACCCTCACTCCGACTCTTAATCTCCTCTTCCCCTATCCCCTCCCCCTTCCCCCACTCCCTTTTTCCTACCCCTTCCCCCTATCCCTTCATCCCCCCCCATCCCCCCCCCCCCATTACCTACCTCCTTACTTATATCCCAACCCTATCCTACTTCCCTACCCCCTATCCCCACCCTTTTCCTTCCCTCTACCCC